TTATCCTAAAGTGCTGTCATAAAAACTTGTTCAGAATCTAGATTGCTACTTACATTCAGAGCAAATGCCATAATTCATACATGCCAATATGGAAGTATTTGGAATTCCCATCTCAAGAAAATTAAGAACTTGTATTACTTTGAAATTTTCCACAGTGAATCTGCACTTCCGCTTTAACTGCAACATCTGCACCTTCCTTCCTGCCTGAAATGGCTTTCTTAGGCCAAAAAGAAAATTTTGCTTTCATGAAAGCAAAGGGGTTTCTCCCTCCCCAAGGTCTAGTCCCCTTCCTTGCTCCTCTTAGACAAACATAAATTATCTGTTTGCAAGAGGAAACAAAAAGACAACTGCAAGAAAAGTTCCCTGGCCAGGCAAGGAGGCTGTACTTAGAGGGGATGGATTCACATTAGCCAACACGTGCGGAGGCCACAAAGCAAGGCACAACCGAGACTTTGTCAAAGCTGAAATGGTTCAAAAGTATTTATTTACCTTTGAGGGAAACATCTGGACAGGATATCTCTAAGTTAGGCATATGAAAAGAATGTTTTCATCTTCACTGCCACCATCAGAAACATCTTCCTGAAATGTCAGGGCTGGAAGTTGGGCTGGTTGCAGATACTAGTAGCTCACACCTGTAATCCTAGCTGCTTACCAGACTGAGATCTGAGGACAGCACTTTGAAACCAGTCTGGGCAGGAAAAGTCCATGAGATTCTTATCTACAAGCAGCCACCCAAAAGAAGCTGAAAGTGGAGCTGTGGCTCAAGTTGTAGAATGCTAGGCTTGAGCACAAAAAAGCTGGGGAATAGCACCCAGGTCCTGAGTTCAAGCCCCAAGACTGGCACACACAAAAAAAATGTTAGGACCAATTAGCACCGTGTACATGGGCACAGTATCTCTTAAAGATGAAGCCTATCATGAGACTGTGTCTTGAAAATGACTAGCTAGATACCCAGTGGCTCATACACATTATCCTAGCTACTTAGAAGACTGAGATCTAGAGTATCAGGGTTTGGAGCCAGCCGGGGCAGAAAAGTCTAGGAGACTCATCTCCAATTAACCAGTCATGAGCAAGAAAACTTAGAAAGCATGAGGCCCTGAGTTCAAGCCTCACTACTACAAGCAAAAATAAAAAGGGAAAAGACCCAGCAAGAAATAGGGATATGTGGCTCAAGTAGAATTCCAGTCTAGCAAGCCCGAGGCCTGGAATTTCAACTCTGGTACCACCAATTAACGATAATGATAATATACATGTACAATGAAATAACCATTACTATCTGGAAAATGTAAATGCCTTCAGGAAGAAACTAAAAGATTAAAGGTTTGAACCCTGAAAATAACAAAACACTGTTGAAAGTTAATAATATCCAAATAAGTGGAAAGACCTCGTGTGCGTGTACCAGAAAAGTTAATATTACTACAACAGCAATATTCCTCTAATTGGCCTACAGATTCAATAATTCCTTATTAAAATCCCAGCTGGTTTTTTTTGTTGTTAAGCTACCAACTCACTAAGAAATTCCTACAGAAATAAAAGAAACTGAAAATAGTCAAAGTAATCTTGAGAAAGAACCAAGTTGTAGACTCCCGTTTCTCAATGTCAAAACAGCTCAAAGATACAGTAATCAAAGCAATATGGTACTGGCGTAAGGATATGTGAGCATTTAGGATCACTGGAATTGAATTAAGAGCCACATTCATAGTAAAAATGATTTTGACAAGATCTCAGAACAACTCCTTTAAACAAATGATGCAGGTATAATTAGATGTCTACATACAAAGAAGTGAATCTAAATCCTTGGTTCATGCCAACATACAGAAATTAACTCAAAATTAAAGTTATAAAACTAGAAGACAATGTAGGAGTAAGTCTGTGTGCCTTTAAGATTAGATAATGGTTTCTACCATTAATGATACCACCAGAAGCACAGTGGCAAAAGAAGTAGATAGGTTAGATTTCATCAAAATTACATTTTCATACAAAATTATAATTACAGAATTACAAACTTCATTAAATACCACAAGGATAGGGAAAAGACAATTGCAACACTGAAGAAACTATTTATAAATCACCCATTAAATAGATTTGTATTCAGAATCAAGAATTCATGCACTTCTACAATTAAAAAAACAACAACTAATGTAAACATGAGCACAGAGGATCTGAAAGACATTCCACCAAAGAATTTATAGAACCAGCCAGGGAACACATGGAAAGATACTCGACATCACCGGTCATTAGAGAATTGAGAGTGAAAATCACAGCGAGATACTAGTTCATATCCACAATAGAAAATGGTCAGAACAGGACAGACAGACAAACAAATGAAGAGCAATTGGAGCTTTCATACATTTGATGCTAGCAATGTAATGCCACAGAGTTATCAGATAAGCCATCAAGTATAAACCCTCCTAGGTGTGAAAATATGTATGTGCCAAAGAGAATTAGAAATGTAGATTCTTCCAAATGCTCCTACATGGACATTCATGGCAGCATTACTCCCAATATTTAAAAAGCAGAAGTAATACAAATGCCTATTGATGAATGAACATACAAGACATGATACAGCCATCCATCCAATGAAATACTATGTGGTAATACAATGAAGTACAGCCACATGCTACAGCATGGATGAAGCTTGAAAACACAGTGGGGAAGAAGCATTCACAGAAGGCCGTGTTCTGTAATGTTACATCTCTATGACATGTTCCAAAGTCAAATCCAGAGACAGAAAGCAGAGAGTGCCAGCCAAATGCTAGGAAGGGAAGGGCAAGAGGAAAAACTGCCACTGCTTATAGCAGCTTTTAGAGGAAGTACTTTCTGGGTGTTGAAAGTATCCTAACAGTGGTGATGTTTCATCATTACACCAATATGCTAAAAAAAACAAGGAATTTCATACTTAGGAAAGTATGAGGGGGCTGGGAAGGTGGCTCAGTGGTAGAGTGTTTGCCTTGCATGCCTGAGGCCCTGGGTTCAATTCCTCAGCACCACATAAGAAAAAAGCCAAAGTGGTGCTGTGGCTCAAGTGGTAGAGCGCTAGCCTTGAGCTGAAGAGCTGAAGGACAGCACCCAGGCCCAGAGTTCAGGCCCCATGACCGGACCTCCCCCAAAAAAAAACATACAAAAAAGTTTCAAGCCGGGTGCTGGTGGCTCACGTCTGTAATCCTAGCTACTCAGGAGGCCAAGATCTGAGAATCACGGTTCAAAGCCAGCCCGGGCAGGAAAAGCCATCAAACTCTTATCTCCAATAAACCAGCAGTGGCACTGTGGCTCAAGTGCCAGCCTTGAGGTGAAGAGCTGAGGGACAGCACCCAAGTCCACAGTTCAAGCCCCACCACCGAACAAAAAAAAAACAATTGCAGTATATGAATGGAGGGAAGGAATTGTCCTAAGAGCACAGAAACAGTTCTGCTTCAAACTGTTAACAAAAAAAAAAAAAGAAGAGGAAATAAAATGATTATATTAAGCATTAGTAAGCATTAGTCACTATTCCCTAAGATGCAGTTTTTAAAGTTTCCAGATGATCACAATTACTGGCAAACTCACAAGAGGTATTACAGTAAATTGTTTTGAAAATCAGTGTATCAGTATGTAATACACATTAAAATTGCATAATGGTATGATGATCAGGGTAATCTACCACTGAACACTAAGGGTTCAAGGTTTGAGGTGTACCACTCACTCTAAGAGGCTGGCACATTCTGTCCCAACTAAAAATGGAGAGTTAGGAATACGAACAAACTCAAGGAAAAAAAGGTGAAAAAGTGCAGCAGCAGAGCTCGCTGGACATTGATAAAGGTGAACTATACAACCTGTGGGTGGAGATGGGAGGGAGGCACTGGGAGAGAGTGAGGGAATAGATGACACTGTATGAAAGGAAATGTACTCATTACCTGACTTATGTACATGTAACCCCTCTATACTTCACCTCTATAACAACAATAAAGTAAATTTTAAAAAGAAAAAGAAAGAAGACCAAAAGCTATGCACATACATATGTCACATTTTTCCTTGTGGCTTGATTTAGAATAAGTTAGCAAACCTATTCACCAATGAATGACATACTCATTTTATCCATTACCACTCAAAAGGACCAGAACTCTAGTTCTATAGGTACATGGACGCCATTCATCAAATACACGAAGTATGTTAGGCATAATTTAGAAACCTTTATTTACTCCACTTCATCGAATCTTTACAACACTATGGGGAAGGAATCAGCATCCAACTAACAGAGGAAACAGAAGCATTTATACCATAAATAAAGTAATTGAACCCAATTTAAAATTTTTAGTATAGGTTACAAGCCTCTCTACAGTGAATAGTATATTTCTTTCAAGAGTCAAGTAGATATGAAAACATATTTATTGCACGCAGGCTCAAATGTGGTTAATGAAGTTGCAGACTTAACAAATCTGCCACTACTGGTTAACCTCAACACTGATAGCAACCCAAAATGGCGAACTAGTTCTTTCCTTTTAATGCCTACTTTTCACTTCTGAAAAGACTCCTTCCTATCAGGCAGCTGTGGTTCATGCCTGTAGTTCTAGCTACTCAAAAGGCTGAGAACTGAGGATCATGGTTTGAAGCCAACCTTGGCAGCAAAGTCCATGAGACTCTTATCTCCAATTAACCACCAAAAAGCTGGCAGTGGCGCCATGACTCAAGTGATAGAGCATTCGCCTTGAGCAAAAAAGCTCAGGGACGGCACCCTAGACCCTCAGATCAAGCCCTAGGACCAGCAACAAAAACAACAACAAAAACCTAAAACTACTCTGTTCCAGAGCAGATACGGAAATGTCAAGAGAAAAAAAAGAACAATAATTTATTCTAAGTGTAGCATTTGCACTTAAAATACACACATATGCTTTTCAGAAGGGAAGAGCTAAACAGCACTACTGAGTTACTGTGCATTATTCGGGATACTGAAAAACAGTAATGAGTAATGTTCAGACGGTAACTTGACAGAAGCAGAAAGAAATAAAGTCAACAGTACTTACTTTCCCCTCCATGAATGTTTCGTTGTGTAGAAACAAGCCAAATCCTTATTTTCCCTAATTATGTTCATTTTGTGCTGAAACCTGGAAAATAAAAAATGTGGGTCTAGTTTATACAGTGTCATAGTTGCTCAATTTTTTTCCTGTCACACCACAAATAATTCTCATCCTCTCCCTCTCTTCCCCTCCCTCCTGTTTCTGTGTCTCTTTCTCTCACTCTCTCACACTCTCTTTCACACACACACACACACACAACCTGCAAGACCATCTGTTCACTGCCTCCTGGACATAAGCACCATACTGTGATTGTCCCTCAATCACGTCTCTTCTTCAGCATCCTGGGCTGCCTAAGAAGCAGAACTGCTCTCAGTCAGCAGCCTCTGAGCGTGGAAAGTAGTAAGAAATGCCAGATGAAAGCATCTCCCAGCGCCCAACAACACTGAAGAACGTTTGCCAGAGATATCAAAATTAATTCTAGGTTTCTGCTGAGTCGCTTGCTGGCAAGATCGCTGTCACTGTTATGTTTCAGAAGGGTAAGTAACGATTTACAAATAATAATTTCCCCATTATGGAAGTCATGCATGCGCAGAGTAAGAAATGTAAAATATTTGCGCAGATCGATACCTTCTTATATGTCTAATCCACACTTCAGTCACACTTCCAGCCATTTTGGATTTAGCTATTTTTCAGAGAAGGTCTCAGAGTTTTTGTCCAGGGCCAATCTTAGACCAGGACCCATACACATCTCATCCAACTGGGATCATAGACTTGCACCACCATGTCCGTGTTATTTGTTGAGATGCTGTCTTGGTGAACTTTCTGACTGGACTGGCCCCCAAATCATGATCTTCCACACCTTTGCTTCCTAGGTGGCTGGGATTATAGATGTGAGCTACTGCATCTTGCCCCTCTACATATTTTTAATAAGCCCTAAAAGTGGTTTAGATATCACTGCTTATCAACAAAATCCCCTAAGCCACCATTAATTCCCATGATCCATAGTGGCAAATCTTGTTGAATTTCTAGTATTGAGAAGCTCAAACATCAAGCAGGTAAAATAGCTAGAGAGAAACAAAAACCCATGTAAATTGTGGGATGAGCTCTTGGTAGTTAGCTGTGTTGTTGGGCTTTGCCATTGCCCATTGTTAGAGGCTATTTACATTACCACTCATCACTTAAATTTCAGTCTCCTTCAAACCCGTGATGGAACCCCATTTCAAATTCTCAAGGACTTACACTGCTTACTTGGATGAGAAAAACCTCAAGTTCACAGGCCCTTTATTTCATTGAAGGCATCTCCAAATATTTCAAGTCAGCCTTACTTGTTTTCCATTCTATATCCTAATATTACATCACCAGAGCTATCTTTGTTTTTGCGACTTCTCGGGTGGTTCTTTTAATAGAATTGTACGAGGGTTAAAAAAAAAAAAAAAGCCCAATTTGGGAAGGTGTGGGAGCAAACACCTGTAGTCCCAGCTAAAGAACAGCCTAAGGCAGAAGGACCAAGAGTTTCAGGTCAGCTTCTGCTATGTAGCAAGACCTTATCACGTAAGTTTTTATGTATGTTTTAAAAGAGGTGGGAATGTAGCTCTGTGGTACAGTGCTTAGCTCGACTGCAGAAGGCACTGGGTTCAATCCTTGAGAACACATACACACACACAGTAAAATCCAGGGCAATGGGCATCTTGGCTAGAGTCCCCTTGTGCAATTCACTCCACTGTTTCTTGCTTTCTAGTAAGTGTCTTAACAGTCTTTATTACTGGCAGTAATGCTGGCATCCACTTAAAATCATTTATGAATAAAATCAGGATGATCTAGGACAATGCATGAATCTGACACAATATCTCAAGACTGGAAGGCCCACTGAGCAGGAGCCGACATCAGACTGACAACTGAACACAACAGGAAGGCAGAGCTTCGGGCAGCCTACAGTCACCAAATGAGCAGAAGAATCTGCCCGCTCAGCAAGATTAAGTATGTGCACAAGGCTTGGGTTAGATGAAACTCAGAACACTCATGTAGCCATGGATGAATGAATACACACAGAAAACTGGAATTGAACAAGGATATTCTGTCTACGGCACTTACTTTATACACTCAGCTGCAAGTGACTTTGATGCAAATGTAACCACTTGGGAGACAGAGTAAGATAACTAATTTCTCACTTGGTCTCTTAAGAATAGAATTTACTCTGCTCATAATTAGCTCTGCTCTCAAGTAAAGAATTAAAAACATGGGGCTGGGAAGGTGGCTCAGTGGTAGAGCGCTTGCCTTGCATGCCTGAGGCCCCGGGTTTGATACATAAGAAAAAAGAAAAATGCTGGAAGTGGCGCTGTGGCTCAAGTGGTAGAGTGCTAGCCTTGAGCTGAAGAGCTGAGGGACAGCGCCCAGGCCCAGAGTGCAGGCCCCACGACCGGACCCAAAAAAAAAAAAAAAAAAGAATTAAAAATATGAGCTGGTCTTGAAATGGGAAGATACAAAGATTGCTGAGTAGATACAAAGTAAACACACCTGTCTTACAGCAAATATTGTTTAAATGTTAGTGTGAAAGTCTTGGAGGTAGGAGTATGTGTGCCTCCTGGAAAGTTCTTTTAACTTGGCGGTAGGTGAAATTATTTTATATGTTTAAGGAAAACTAAGTTTGTTTTGTTTTTGGCAACACTGGAGACTGAAATCAGGGCTTCTGTGCTTGCTGGGCAAGTGCTCTAACAGTTAAATCACACCTCCACACCTCCATCTTGCTTTTTTTTAAATTAAGTTTGTTGTTCAGATAGGGTCTTCTGCTTTTTGCTCCTGCTGGCCTTGGATCAGTATCTTCCTCCTGCTTGCCTTGATCTCCCAAGGAATTATAGACATTCTCCACCACATCTGGCTTCTTTTTGAGATAGCATCTCAGTCAATTCTTGCCACAGCTGGCCTAAAACTGCAATTCTCCTATCTCCACTTCCTAAGTGACTAGGGACTACAGGCATGCACCACTAGGGAAGTACTGACTTTGCTTTGTCTGGTCAAACTCTCCTGCAGTGGAAAAATGTTATTTACCTACTACACTGTGAAGCCGCATCTAAAAATCTGGCAGACACACTCATATGATGGGAAAAATTTATGAAGCACTTCCTTGTACAGCTACATCTCAAGAAAATACAGGAGGAAGAACTATTTCTGTGGTAAAGACTGAGAATAACATGCTGGGTGCTGGTGGCTCACACCCGTCTTCCTAGCTACTCAGGAGGCTGAGATCTGAGGATCACGGTTCAAAGCCAGCCCAGGTCAGAAAGTTCGTGAGACTCTTATCTCCAACAAACCACCAGAAACCTGGAAGTGGCGCTGTGGCTCAAGTGGTAGAGCGCTCACCTTGAGCTGGTAAGAGTTCAGGGACAGCGCCCAGGCCCTGAGTTCAAGCCTTATGACCAACCAAAAAAAGTTACACTTAAACTGTTTTAAATCGGATGTACTGTGTACAGGAAGCACAGGAGAACTTTAACCCTCCTTTCAGGTGGTAGTTTTGTTACTAAAGATAGGGTTTCAGTATGTAATCCAGGCTGGACTCCTGAGCTCAAATACTCCTCTTGGCTCAGTCTCCAAAGCAGCCGGTACTACAGGAGTGCACTCACGCATTCATTATAAATTTCTTTACTAGTTTACTATCTAGCAATAAACAAACTGGGGCCTGAACACAAGCAGGCCTTCAAACCTGCTTGGTGATTTGACCACTTGAGCCATGCCTCCAGTCCAACATTTTACTAGTTAGAGATGGGAGTCTCTCAGACTTTTTTTTTTCTCAGACTTTTCTTGGCCATGCTGGCTTCAAACCAAGATCCTGTGATCCCAGCCTCCTGAATAGCCAGAATTACACCCAAGTCACTGTCACACAGCTCACTTTTTAATTTTTGTTCTAACATATGTTTCAAATACAGGTGGAAGTAGTATATCCTTCTAATGAACAACAAATTAATGCATGTACAATTCTTAAAATAATCATCAACTGACCACAAATTAAGGTTTCAATACACCCTGGCTTAGGCTCCTCAACTTGTTTAAGAATTTGAACTCAGAGCAAGAAAATAAGAAAACCAGTGGTAATAGCAACTTGGAGGCTGGGAAGGTGGTAGAGTGCTTGCTTTGCATGTATAAGACCCAGGGTTCCATTCCTCAGCACCACGTAGGCAGAAAAAGCTGGAAGCGGAGCTGTGGCTCAAGTGGTTGAGCGCTAGCCTTGAGCTAAAGAGCTGAGGGAGAGCACCCAGGCCCAGAGTTCAAGAACCATGACCAACCAAAAAAAATATAAACTTAGAACTAAAAAAGCTTCTCCAAATAACTACCTAGAATATACAATATTAGAGCCCTTCTACTGACTGCCAGATCAAAATGAACTTTTAACCAAGTAATGGTGGGTCACACTAGTCATCCTAGCTAAGGAGGCTGAGATCTGAGGGTCATGTTTCAAAGCCAGCCAGGACAGTAAAATCCATAAGACTCTTATTTCTAAGTAACTATGAAAAGCCAGAAGTGGAGGTATGGCTGAAGTGATAGAATGCTAGCCTTGCACAAAGAGGAGAGATAGAAAGAGAAAGGGGAGGAAGAGGAGGGACTCTAAAGTATTTCTTCTAGCTGGGTGCCACTGGTTCATCCTAGCTACTTGGGAAGCTGAGATCTGAGGATCACTGAAGCCAGCCCAGACAGGAAAGTCCATGAAATTCTCATCTCCAATGAAGCACCAGAAAACCAGAAGTGGTTCTGTGGCTCAAGTGGTAGACCACTAGCCTTGAGCTGAAGAGCTGAAGGACAGCACCCAGGCCCAGAGTTCAAGCCCCATGACCAACAACAACAACAAAAAAATGTCCTTTATTGCCAAATATTACAGTGAACACTTGCGGCCAAAAGCTAGTAGTAGCAATCAAAATTGTGTCTCTTACTCAGGAGGCTGAGATCTGAGGATCACCGTTCAAAGCCAGCCCATCCAGGAAAGTCTATGAGATTCTTATCTCCAATTAACTACCAGAAAACCAGAAGTGGCTCAAGTGGTAGAGCACTCACCTTGAGATGAAGAGCTGAGGGACATTGCCCAGGCCGAGTCCAAGCCCCATGACCGACCAAAAAACAAAAAAGGTGTCTCTGTTTTCCTGCATAGCCTCTTTTCGACTTTGCACATTTTAAGTACTTAATTTACTAATCTTTAGTACATCAGTCAGAGAAGCAATGGGAAGTACATGCAACAAAAACTACCAATTCACCTGTACAAATATAACTAACTGAGGAATGGAACCAAATTAAAACACACCTTTTTCTTTCAACTCCATAGTATCTGTTAAGAACTAGATTCAGCTACCAGCCTTTTTCCAAGAAAGTTACTATTATTACAGTCTACTAGGACAATTAGCTTCCATCTATATGTGGATAAAGCTAAACTGTTGCAAATAACTCATGCTTTCTTCCCAATTCCATAAATGTTTTTCACTAATGACATTTGTTTATTTTGTCTACTTACTTTTTAGGTTAAGTACTTGTTTCTAACTAAACTTATTAACATTATATATGATGTTTTATTTATATATATATATGATGAACATCTTTTATTCATTATTGCTACGTTAAAAAGAAGTATCCACAGCCTCTCAGTGGACTATAAATGCTGGTATTTTCCATGAACTGGATGAACTCTAGCTTTAAGGTTCTTTACATTCCTATTTCTTAAGAAGGCTCGGATTCTTTTTTCCTCCCTAATGTGTTCTGCTTCCTGTTTTCAAAGGAGTATAAATGCAATGTTTTCCAAACAAGGACTTATGCTTCCTGAATACATCATGATATTAATAGCCCAAATCACTTTGGACCAACAATGACTGAAATACTGTTTCACATGATATTTTAAATAAAAAATTAACAAGATTTTAATGTTACAAGCAAAATTAAATCAAACAATGAAGCAAATTTCCCAGAAACTCCAGAACTGTTGAATCCAGATTTTTCAGGATACTGAATTTCTGACCATGCAGTTTCTATAAATTCCCTTTTTGCAAATACTCACAGACTTGCAGATTACTGGTAATATACTAAAGAATCTGACCACAGTGAGCAGTTTCCTGACACCCTATGGACGGTAGGTTCAAACCTACAAATCTATCAGGTTTATAAAGTGAGGGAGAAAATACTGTTAACTGCCCCCCCACCCACCAAAAAAAAAAGACAATCATTAGGAAGAGATCCTGAAGAGAGATTCTGATCTTTAACCACTTTTCGAACACAAGTCACCCAAAAGGTTCAAACTAATTCTGGTGTATAAAGTCCTTCACAGAAGATGCTAAAGTGTCAGTTAAGGTCCTGCATGGAGGGGGAAGAGGATACAAGGAAAAATAAAATGGGAAAGGCAGAGAGAAAGAAGGGAGAAATCATCCCCGTGGGGGAAGACCACCTCTGTTAGGTGGAGACCACTGCTATGCTAGGGGGAGATTTTATCCGTATTCTTTATCCCCCCCATCCCCCCCACACCAATAAAAAGTTCTCCAAACGAGTGGCAAGCTGCACACCCTACAGCTGGGGGACTTTGTCTGTTTTAAACAGATGTCACTTTCGAGTGTAGTTAAGTCTCCAACATGCCTTTAACAGCCAGCCAGCAGGTCTGTTGGGTTGTACTTCAACCAACCCCCACTCAGAGATGAAATCACCAGCCAAGGAAAGGCTACTGTATTAAAAAAAAAAAAAAAAACAACTTCCTTGCAAAAAGAAGCCTGGGGGTTGGAGGGGTGGAGAAGGACAGGAGAACTCGATTTGGAGGAGAGAAAGAGAGAGAAAGAAGAGGGGGAGAGAGGGAGGGGGGGAAGGGAGAAAGGGAAGAGAGAGAGGAGAGGAAGGGGCAAGGGGAGGGAGGGAGGGAGGGAAGGAGGGAGTGGGGGAAGAGAGAGGGAGAAGGAGAGGGGGAGAGGGGGGGAGAGAGACAGAGAGAGACTGGAGAAGAGACGACACAGCTGTTCTTCATTTCCTAGCAAAACGAAACAAAGCTGAGCAAAGAAAAGTCAAAGTCTAAGCCGGACACAGGGGTGGGAGGGGGAGGAGGGGAAGGAAGACAGGAAGGATAGGCTGACCTAAGGAAACCAGAGTTGCCGGCATATCCTGGAAGGAAGGATGGGAATCCCGAGGGTGGAGCCCACGGGAGGAACGTGGGGTGGGGTGTGCGTGTGTGTGGAATGAGGAGGTGCAGAGGGGGACAGTGATGGGTTGGAAGGGAGAAAAACAACAACAGCGTGAAGGAGAGAGAGAATAGCAGGGCTGGTCTGTGTGAGAGAGGGAGAGAGAGAGAGGGGAGAGAATGGCAGGGATGGGGGGGAGATTAGTAGGGCTGTGTGTGAGTGTCAGTGAGAGAGAATAGCAGTGCTGTGTGAGAGAAAGTGAGAGAGAGACAGAGAGAGAACCTCAGCGCTGTGTAAGTGTGCAAGAATAGCAGGGCTGTGTGTGTGAGTGAGGAGATTAGCAGGGTCGTGAGTGTGTGAGAGAGAGGGAAGAGAATAGCAGGGCTGTGTGTGTCTGAGAGAAAGTGAGAGAGACAGACAGACAGACAGAGAAATTAGCAGGGCTGTGTGTGTAAAAGAAAACGAGAGTGGGAGAGACTAGCGAGGCTGTGTGTATGTAAGACAGACAGACAGACAGAGAAAACGAGAGTGGGAGAGACTAGAGAGGCTGTGTGTGTGAGAGAGAGAGAGACCGACAGACAGTCAGACAGAGAAAACGAGAGTGAGAGAGACTAGCGAGGCTGTGTGTGTGAGAGAGAGACCGACAGACAGTCAGACAGACAGACAGAGAAAACGAGAGTGAGAGAGACTAGCGAGGCTGTGTGTGTGAGAGAGAGAGAGAGACCGACAGACAGACAGACAAAACGAGAGTGGGAGAGACTAGCGAGGCTGTGTGTGAGACAGACAGACAGAGAAAACGACAGTGGGAGAGACTAGCGAGGCTGTGTGTGTGTGAGAGACCGACCGACAGACAGACAGAGAAAACGAGAGTGAGAGAGACCGACCGACAGACAGACAGAGAAAACGAGAGTGGGAGAGACTAGCGAGGCTGTGTGTGTGTGTGGGAGAGACTAGCGAGGCTGTGTGTGTGAGAGACAGACAGACAGACAGACCTCAGCAGGTATGCACAGGGACCGTGCCCAGGGCAGATGTCCCCGGGGCCGAGGCCGGCGCCCCGGCCGCGGGGTGGACGGCGACCCGGTTCCCCCTCGGCGCGGCCTAGCCGGGGTCC